AAATGTCGGTATCAGTCGATCATCCAATTGTCCACAGAGTTGACTTTGGTTATAAATAAAGCGTGCTTTGAGCTGTTTTCACAGTACTGTGCTTAAATATGAACAAAATAACCACCAGTTGGTGTATTTACATAACATTCTTAGTCATTAACCTGTGCATGCTTAACAGTTATACGTCGTTAAAGTTGTTCGAAAACTGCAAGCTTCTATTTCAATTTACTGGATTAGTAAATTGATCAATTTCGTCAGCTGGTAAATTGGGCAAGGTGTAGAGGTTCGGGTTTGTGGACTGATCGGGTTTGGAGGTCCAACGGAGGAACTGCTGGGACAAGGTTCAACAGCAAACGTGTATGGTTGAGATTCAGCTGATTTCGGAACGCACGGCAGCATATGTTGTTGTTCGCTTTACAGTTGCCGTTTCATCTTCATAAATCTAATATATTCCATGTATAGACGAGAATGTTATGTATTCCGAGTTTGAATACAGAGCTTCTGCCCAGGTCAGTACAGAGTCTCACGTTTCGCATGTTTCTTCTGCGGAGGTCTGACCCCTTGCTTCCTTGCTTCTAGCGATCTAGAAGAATGCCACAAACGGTGCATTGACACAAAACGGTATCACTTTATTGGGTTGAACAGTAACCTGTTCGAATACCAACTGCTAGACATCGTCGATCAGTAGGCATTCATTACTGCAAGGAATTGTAGGCTGCTGAAACGGTCCTCTAGGCTACTAGAAGCAAGGAGATCAGGTGTGACTACGCGACTACAAATCTTCGTAAGTGATAAGATATAATTCTTACCAAAGGTATTGAGAACGATTACTTTACTTGTAAATCCATATTATCGGAGTTAATATTAGCGTGTCATAGTTCTTCTGAAATCTTGTAGTCAATCCTATGCACAGTCCCGGAAACGGCAGCTGAATCTTGGATCAGTTGTCAAGAATACGAAGTGAAGAAGCTGATTTGCGTATTATTGCAAAGCAAGTCCTCTTGAGCGAATACGACGATTCCATGAACGAAGACTAGGCTACAGCATATGGTTTAGGCTCCCGTTCCAATAAATATCACGAGCTGTTCGTATCCCGGAGTTTGTCACATAACGAATGAGTTGTGCAAGACCAGATCTCGCCATGTATTGTATCGGCCCCATGCTCGAAGTGACGATATTTGTGCGATGTGAGGGATAAGCGCGACGTAGGGACAATGACAAAACGGTGCAAAATGCATCTGGCACTGCTCGTGTCCAAATACCGTGGAATTGTATCCTGCTTAAATGATCCAACCCCTTCGACAACTTGTTCCTCACTGCCAGCGTGAAAGTTCTTCTATGCAAGTCACGTGGTGCAGATCTGTAGTTCGCGAAAGGAATATTTCTATTCTGCATTTTATATTCGGTTCCTATGCTTATCATGTTTTTATCGCCCTCGAGCAATTTAGCCTTTATGGGGTGCTTTTAAATGGGCACGAAATTGTTGAAAGTTTTACACCTCGTATAACCACCTAATAATGATTACGATTCAGAGCAGGGTATGAGGTAGTAGCGAGTCAGAATTTTGATTACAATCTGTGGCACTTGCTTTTGAGGACTTTTTGATCAGGTCATAATCACGAGAAATATTTCTTGTCAATACCGCATGGCTGACCATTTACAAATGGAATGCTATTAGGTGGGTGTTGATCCTTCAAAATTTAATAATCCTTTTGACTGTGTAGCGATAGATTGTGCACATTGGCAAAGTGCACTTGAATCGGCGTTAGTCGATTGGCCGAATGATCGGCGATTTGATTGTCTATCGGAGTTGTGTTTTGTTGTAAACTGTGGGAACTGAGACACCTTCATCCATGCAGCCGGCGTGCAAGATTTCTAAAAGCCTTTGATTGTTGCTGATTTTTGGCATCACCTACTCCAATCTTTTCTTTAAATGTGCATCAGACATGACGATTTACTGTACGATTAAGTACTGCACTTGAACATTGAATATTCGACTACGATAATTTTGTGCAATAGCATGCCGATTGTCTGACAGACGGATTATCAAGACTCGAAAATGATTATACGAACTTAATATAAACATCTGACCGGCCAGCGTAGGCCAAACAACGGTTGGGAAGCGTTTGTCAGCGTCACGAAGAAGGCAAGCTAAAATGCTGTGTATGGTAAACTCGGCAGCTTGAAACATGTCGGTTTGTTTGTATCGATTCAAAGGGGACCGTCGCGTTCCTATAAAAACTATCAAACAATTAGCATAAGATCCAGAAGATATGACACGGATATTATTTACGAGCTGCAGTTGAATGAACGGATTTAAAAAGAATACGGTATCGTCATGATGTGAAGATTCAGATGAAGAATGAGCATGATAAAAATGTGGAGAAAAGGGGGACCGGGCAAAAACACATGAGGAGCTGTACCAAAACCATATTTCTCGAGAGAAAACGCACGGACAAAAGCGTGTGATGTCGTTGTCTGGGTGAAGAAGATGGAATTTTGTGGGCCAGAGGGACCTTAGAATGTGTTCCAAGAGAGAATCAGCAGGAAGTTGTCAGTATCGATCCAGTGTAGATTGAAGACGTTCTGCGGATGAAGGTGGATTAAACAAAAAGAGTAGAGGAACGAAAATCTATAAAATGAAAATATATCCCGGAGGCCTTCGTCCTTCAGTGGATCGTAAAAGGCTATCGATGATCTCGTGGGAAAGAGCATTACAGATTCAGTGGAGGTACGAGAAATTTTCAGATGAAAAGGACACGCTGAACCTGAGGTCGTTTCAATCGTTAGCCGAGTATTGCGCGCCTACAGCAGCGGTTCGTGCATTGGTTTCCTTTGTGTAGTAAGGGTCCATTTTGCTGCGTTATGTCTACCGGTAATCGTCGAATAACTCTCATATTTGCGCGCAGTTTCCCTCATATACTGATAAGAGATTTGCACGTATTTTGCTGAGCCTTGGTGGTTGTTTCTTGAACATCTGCGTAACAGCTTCCATCAGCGATGTTCACATAGATAAAGAATAAAGCGAAAAATTTTACTTTTTAGACTCATGTTTCTATCCTTATCAGCGCTTAATAGTAATTTAGTCGGGCACGACAGCAGATAAAAAAGTTCATTTTTGCTTCAGGCTGTAAACAATGAGGTAATCCCCTTGTCTTTGACTTGTCATGCAAGCTCCAACGTCCTTTACACACACCGTATTTTTTAGCGGACAGTTCTGATGATTGCTTGGTGATTTGCTTCATTGGATCATGATAACTGCAAACGATAATATGGTCCTTCCATAACGACAATGTTATTATGAATTTTAATGGCATGCGCTACTGGGCCAGAATTTTCTGCATTATTATTTACTATAGCTATTTGGACGCGTCGATTCCTCCATAGATATGCCTGTCGACGTAAATAGAGTAGCAGGGTCGTTTTACCACGTTTGATACGAATGGCTAAATCTGTACACTTGTCTGCCAGCGTACATCTCTACTGGAAGCCCGATGTTGGTGTATTCGGGTATTTTCACGTTTCAGGCTTGACCTGACCGTTGCTTATGTCGTTTCATGGTATGTTTAAAAGAATCTGTTTGAGAGAAATGAAATTTCTTGTGCGATAATGATATCCGTGGAAAAGTTTTCTCCTGGAACGAGGTGATCCTTGAAATAAGAACAACGTTCCTTCCAAACTATTTTGATCCCTAGGCCAAACGACAGAAGTGCACAGTCATTGAATGTGCATCGAGCCGCGGATTTTCAACTGCTTTAATGCGACTCCTTCGTTCTCGACGTATGCCTGCTTCAATGCAGCGCTCCTTGTTGGGTCATCTGTCGTTTATTTTAACTTTGCGATATACCTTGGTAACGTAATGATCCAGCTGTCGAGGCGAATCCAACATTATCCAGTCAATCACTCAATCAATCAGCCACTCGTTTGTTGCAACTTCATGTTTACTCATAGGCGGCGCGGAACGTTAGCGCTAAAAGAGGACGAGGAAGGCTCGCGTGTTCTACAGCGCGATCGATGACGTCTCTGGAACAAAGGGGATGAAACATCATATTTCATGTGATTTATGGTGAGCAAGATAAGCAGCTGATTCGTATCTGTCATTCTCAAAATGAAAAACGATTTACGTCACTACAACGTAACAGCAGTAAACGTGTTTGACTATGAGGCTGTAAACAGACGAAGTAAATTAGCATAACGGCCTCACCGGAGACAATGGAAAATTAGACTCCCTTAGCGATCGCGAGCCTATTCATTTTCGCTCTTTCGACGAACCAGGCTAACATCTAGGCGGCATTCCGGTTTAAACCTAGTTTGTGTCACAGCCCATTAATCATTTTGCTTTCAACAACCATTTCCGTAGCGAAGACAAAACAAGCAAACAATAAGCAATATATAATATATATTATTTTCAGTGAGGTAAATGCCTTATACAAAAATATGCACATATATACAAATCTGCATATTTACACAGCACTGTCGTTCAAACAACTCCCAATCATCGGCCTTATCGACGGTACCGGATGTTCATTGTCTAAGATTTCTTCTGACAACCCTACAATGAATATTCAAAAGCAAGGCGAACGCTCTTTCGGCAAAAGTCATTTTACACAGACCATACAGAATTTTTCACGCATTTATCACTGCGTCGTCCTTGACTACAGTTTCGTTATTACCATCATACGTATCGAAATATTCCGTCAGTTCTCTGTATGGCAAAATCTAGAAACGTTTATGTATGTTATCAAACAATTAGTTTCTCAAATGACAAATGGCTACTCACTAGCACTAGAAGTGGAAGAAGCCGATAAGTAAGTGCTATGTGGCAAAAATTTATCCCTTTCACCTTAGACAATTTCTCCTTATACTTGAACATACTATATAGATATGCTATACACCGTATATACTAATATATGTAGTATCTATACTATGTAAGACTTACCAAAGCATTATATCATCTCCTGCATAAAGAAATCATGTACCTTATTCAAAATTATAGTATATCATGTATATATTCCGTCATTCCTTCCTGGTTCGCATTGTTTTCTATAGATCATAAGAGAATTGCGACGCGACGTGCGGGATCCTCCGAGGAAAATACTCAGACCTGTTCAAAAACCTGTTCTTGTTCATGGAACCACTCGATTTTGCCAGAAAGAAAGCTCTCGATCGTATAGTGTAGTTAAACCGTATGAGCCCTACCAATCTTTAAGATTTATCGTTCGTTTTTGC